CTTTATTTTTTTGAATTTTTTTATGCTTACCAAAAGGATAACGATGTGTACTATCTATAACAATAATAAAAAATATCGGTTGACATTTAAAAAAAATTGTCAAAATATAGCATTTGAAAAAATAAAATCGACCTGTTCAAAGATTTTTTTTAAAAATGACTCATAACAAAGATAAGAATTTTGTGCGTTTTTATTTTATATGCGTTATTATTTCTAAAGAAAGTTGTTAGAAAGACAAAGTTTTAAAGTAGGGCTCAGAATATTCAAAATATTTCCCACCCCACCCCCAACCACGGGCCTGGTGTTTCAATTAAAAATTCAAACAAGAAAAATTTTGCGCGCTTGCTGTAATTGGTTGATTGCTGGAGCATCTGATTGGTAAACAGCGTTTTACAATAACTCCTAATCTTTGCAACTTTTTTCTGATTTTCTGCTATTTTAAAAAATTTCATAGTTGGACATTTGGAATGTAAAAAACGTGATTTTTTGATACCTGTAGCAATATTTTATTTTTATTTATTTATTCGCAGAATTTCACTAAATGTTTTTAAAATTACAGTTATGTTTATTATCAAAGGTATGCAAAAAAATTAAGCAAAAAGATAACATTTTATATACAGTATCGAATTCGATGAAAATAATATCACAAAACAGTTGTCAAAAGTAAGTTTAATTTTTTTTTTCAAAGAAGGCGGGATAAGTAACAAAGAATATAGATATTGCCGACGTCCGGCTTCGCCCCTTGCAGGTAGCTGTTTAGCTTGAGATAATTGACACGTGCTCACCCTCACAGAGGGAGAACCATCTTTGTTCGTAATGCATACTTGCAATATTTATGTTTTTATCATTATTATCAATGAAAAAAAGTTGGTAACCGAACCTAACCATTTTCGGATACACAAGTTTGTTGATAAATACACCATATTCTCTAATTAAATGTGTAACTTTCACTACTACCTTGGACGAAAAAATACACGCCGCCACTGCTTTTCGTTGCAGTAATCCCAGTTTTCGTTAAAGTTCGTGTTTGGGGAGAAAATCATTATAACATTCGTAAAATAATAATGATTTAGACCAAATTCTAAAATTAAACCGCATTGTGTACTTCAATATTTATTTAAATTAATAATTATTATCCATTGACACACCTCATCAGTGCTGGTACGGAGTTTTTAAACAATGTTTTTTCTAAATATCAAAGATTTACATAAAATGAGCTATTGTTGCATTTTTATCATATTTCTTTTGAAACGAATAATTATCATTAATTAATAATTAATAAATAAACAATGTATTGAGTGGCCAGTAATATTGCAAGATGTGTACGCCACTGATTTTGCCGTTTCATGCGAAAGTACAGTAAATCAAAAGTCTCAATAATCAACAGTTAATTGTGATTTATTCGAAAAAAATCCAACAAATTTTCTATCAGAAGAATGATTAAATAATAAACAATGTGGGTTATTAACCAGACGGATAAATTAAACTCCATGAAGGAAAAATACGATCGTCTCGATTACAACGGTGACGTCACTAATACGTTTACTAGCCGTCATTACAAAATACCAAATGCAACGCTCTGATTCGTCCATATCTAGCGGAAGCCATGTTGGAAAAAAAACAACCATAAATTATGTTACGACGAGTGCGCCATCTAGCGACAATGTAAGAAGAAAGTCAAGTTCGCAACCATACGGTTGCGGTATTTATGACAAAAAATGATGTTTTTGCAGGTTTTATGACAAGTTTGGTTAATCATTCGGTTATAACGTAAATGTTGTTTTTTTTGACCCCCTTAATGACAGATTTGATGAAATTGGAGTTGTTCATGTTGCTTGTGTTATAACCGGTTGTAGGTTAATCGGTTAAAGATGGCGGTTGTGTGTTTGCGCATTCGTGCGCGAGATGTCAGTGCGTTTTTAGTATGGAGTTTAGCCGTTAGTTGTCGTTAGGTTAGTTATTTTTGATGCCATCTAGCTGTACCCCGCTTTCGAACGTTTCGTGTACTAATATGAGTGCAGTGGTGTTAAGTGTGTGTGAAGAAAACCCTGGCTTCCCATGTATTTAAACTAAAGTTAAAATCGCGTTAGACGGGGTGAAAAATCTGGTACGTTGTGTTGTGGCGAATTTGGGTTAGGTCCCGTAGTTTTCGCATGAATTCAGTTCGGCAAGAGAGTTTAACACCGAGTGTTCCATTTTGATGGCGCTATGGCCGCTAAAACATAACCAGGGAAAATATAAACCCGCCTTAACCTCACTCTTGGTAAACATCAATCGAACGAAAATGGGTTGCACGATCTAGTGGGTGAAACCGTCTTTTGTTTCGATAGTTGTCAACTTGTCAAAATGAATGTGAAGCAGGAAAGGCACGACGAAGCCGAAATTCAGGCCCTCGCCGACAAAATCAAAGAAGCGAGCAAAAATCGGATGGCCGTGAACCAGCAGAAAGCCCATGTGGGTCTAGGGCAGAACCTCATCCTCACCTCCATGATGAACGACAAGAAGAAGCAAAACAATACTCTCCAGGCCACCAACTGCCAGGAAACCGGGAAGACCATCGACGAGGACTCCGTACGGGGGCGGTTCGGCTGGGAGACCATCGGGAAGAACCCTATCCCTTACATCAACCGCAACGGGGAGAAATACTGTGCCGTTCGGATGGTGGAGATGAAGGCCCTCAACAAATACTTAAATTACTTGCACCAAGACATCTACAACTGCACTTGTATCAGGAGTTACTACATCACCGAGCCTGAAGGGAGGCTCCTCAACGAGATTAACATGAAACACTGTGACTATCATTTCGGGAAAGAACAGTTCACCCCGCGGGATCTGATTGTTAGACTGAGTGATGCTGTGGAGTTCTACAACTTCCTTTGTTCGTGCTACACGAAGTTAGTAAACGGTGAAACTGATTCCTTAGGTCGAAGCGGTTTTATCCGAATAAATAAAGAATCTGTGGTACCCTACACTGTATATAATGACCAAAAATACGTCCCACTATTCTACTTCGAGGGCGAGACTGAGAACCTGAAGCAGCGAGCCAACAAACTCGAAGGCTGGGACTTATCTTATTTAAAATTCTGTTGTAAAGTACAAGGAATCCGGAACGAACTTTTTGCACACGATTCCTGTTCAGTTATTAGTTTAAACGATATTAAAAATTATTTTCCTCCCGGGACCCTTTTCGAGGACTACTGGCCGAAGAAAAGTGTCGATTCGCAATTGTTAATAAGTGGAAATACGAGGAATCAATCCCAGATTATCCAGTGGACGCGACAGCCGGCAGCCCCCCCAATTGCCCATTCAATCCCCAGTCCAAGGGCCGTCAGCTTGACCCAACCTAAACCCCCGGCTGCCAACAACCAGATTCACAATGTCCATACTTACTCCTCTTATGGAATGGGGGGACAACATCCCTATCATCCCCCGCAATCCCGGACGCCTGGATCGGCCATCAGGACGACTTATCCTGCGGCAACAGGGAACAGGCACATGAGGTCGCCCAATTATTATTCAAACATTACTCAGGGACCACCGCCGCCGCTCGTACCCACGACACAGGCGTAAGTCAACCCCCAATTTCTAAGTAATATCCAATTTTTGAACACGTGATCAAGTCATTCATTCAAAACAAAAGGCTTTTTTGTTATTATTATATTACCACTATAAACGTGTTTTTATTTTATAAAGTCCCCACTGGATTGTTTTTATGAGTCACTGGTTTTCAGAATCAAAGATTGGGCTGTTTTATTGTACCACATGAAAAAAAAAAAATACAAACTGAATGCAACGGTTCGGTTACAAAGAATTTTTTTAATGTGTTTTCTTCGATTTGTATTGAATTGTATGTTTTTAGAATTTGATCTCATAGTCATAACAGTAATACGGGAGACCGGGACATTCTGTAAACATTTCACAAATTCTGTTGGGTCAATTGTCTACCAAAAAAAACAATTATTAACGACCTTTTGCTGATGATAACAATTATATGAGGACATTTAAAAAAATCTGTCTGAACGATTTTTTTATAAGCATCTAGATAGATTTTAGAAGTATTTGAAATCCTATCTAAATAAAAGATAAAGAATTATTCAAAAGTTATTTATGTTTTAAGCACGTTGAGATAAAGTATTTTGGCGGGAATATTATCAAATTGCGGAATAATTTAGTGTGGTCACGTGTTTGGTTTGTTTTTTTAAATTTCTGCAAGCAGTAAAAATCTAAGATTCTGAATTTATCGAAAGAAATTGCGGAGTGGTCGAGTCAGTTTTATTGCGTAATAAGCGTGATAATTAGTGAAAATATTTATAACTCCTAATAAGATGCATTAATTAGATTGTGGGGATGGTATGAGAGAAATTTCACCAATTTTGTGATCCTTTGTTATATCTGAAAGGAAATAAAACAATTCGTTATCATTATTACACGCAGTGATTTCATTTTATTGATTATTTGTTTATGAAAATAAATGGTGTCATTTGTGGACAATTTTTTTTTTTTTAAATCTGAAACTGTTATTACATATGAACTTAACATTGATATAAAGAAGGAATTTGTCAATAAAAAATTCCAAAGGGTATGACGGTGTAATCTGAGTCAAAGAATGTCTGATAAATTTTTGTTGTTAGACTTGATCACGATATAAAAAACATTGTTATTTGGAAATTGAGCCTCCCAAAAAGTACAGTTTTGTGCGAAAAATGCATCCTGGTGAGGCTTTTTCATTAAATGAACTAATAAAAAAATGTATGTCTTAGTTATCCTACTTACGGGAAGGAAGATTGGTGAGTTCTCAATGTGTAAAATGTTTGTACTGGACTGTACTAGATTTTTTGTAGAAAAAAAATTGCATGAAGAAGTCTCATTGTGGGACCATAATGTAGTAAAAAAAATTGAAACGTGTTATTGAATCGTCTTCAAAGTCGCAAAATAATATTTTTGGATTTTCTCCTTACTTCTAGGCAACCGAATTTGCACTATTCGAACGCCCAGACGAATGCAACGCCGAATTATATGTTAACCGGAGAACAGCCTAATCTTAACCAAATAAATTACCATCAGGAAGAACCGGATGATTCACAACCACCACCGATGATTCCCATAAGGCAGTTTTTGGCGAACGGTGGTGTGCTGTCACCGACTTTCATAAGACAACAGCAGCAAGCAAGAATGCATATGGAGGCCATGAACCAAAATTCGGCCCCCCGGTTAGTTTTCTAAGAAATTTAAAGCCAGTGGGGGCTTTAACACGAAACAATCATTTAAATAAATTTATTTTTTAGGGATTTACAAAATAATTACGTCAGCAACCGACAGTCAATTCTGATAAACCAACAACCGGCTCATCAGCAGTCATCCCGGAGTCAACAACCTAGTACTTTTGGTGATGATCAACATGCGATGCCAAACGGTGGTCAAATGTGCTTAGACGATGTTAACTGTAAATTAATATCGATTCCCGAACCACCAACTAGTAGTAATCACATTCCATATAAAATGCAAAAGGCGTTAGTTGAAGGAAAATTATTGCCTTGTATTAACATGAAGCCATATGTATACTCCGAACTATTGGTGACTCTCCCTGATCTCACAGTGAATTTTTTTAATAATATACCAGTGCAATCATGTCAAAGAGTCATGAAAGTGCTAGGAATCGACTTGTACAAACCCAACAAGTAAGTCTGCGCATGCGTGTTAAGTGTGTAAATTAATTGTAAATCGTTGCAGTTCCCAAGCCCACGTCCTGATGGAGTCTGGCAAGTGTCAAAGCATAAACGACGTGGTACCTTTAGTTCAAGTGCGAAATGTGATTGATTTCATGCCTCAGTTGAAGTATATGTTAGGAGGTGTTTTACCTAACATAATGTCTAATAAACGGCAGAGGAACAGCTAGGACTGGGCGAATCTGTGGGGCTATAACTTTTACAATTTGTGAAAGTCCACGAACTGAAGTGTTTTGTAAAAGTAACAAAATGTGTTGTTTTATATAAAAAATTGTTCCTAAAGTGTAAATCAATAAGTACTATGCAAAAAAGTGAAACTACATAAACATGTACTATTGCGCTAGTTACACACATGATTTTTTTTTATTTTTGTCATTCATGCTTTTAGAACGTCGATACATGTCCGACTTTTGTTTCATTACAACAAACTTGTTTAAAATTATTATATCTACTTGTTCTTGGAATGTTTTGTGTTTTGTAATGATCATATTTTTTCTAATTCAACTTTTTTTTGTTGGAATTTTGTTTGGTTTAAGGTATGGTCGACGTTTTATAACCGCATGTTGAACGTTTCGATCCTGTTGGCATTAGAATAGGTATTTTGAATTGTTTGATCACTTTTTGCTACTTCAAAAAGTTTTCTTTGGTATTTGCTTTGTGAATTATTTTAAAATTTGACGTCTTTCTAGTCAATTAAATTAAGCAGCATTTGAAATATTCCAATAAAAGTGGTAATTATTTGAAATATCTGCTCTATTTTTCGTATATAATTATTTATTTCTTCAATGATCATTATAATATTAATAGATAGTTATATCAATGTGAAATGTCCAGGGTAGGGGATGTACTTTAGATAAAACATTCTGGATTTAGATAATAACATTGTAACACTTTTTTTGAGATCTGAAATTTTTCAAGATGTGTTTTCGTAATTGATCTAATACGTTTGTTTGTCATTTTTGTGTTGATTTCCTTGGAAACATGTTTATTCCCTTGCCTGTGATATTTGAACAGATTACAAATCAGTATTTAATAAATTTATTATCCATTGAGCTTGAACACTCAATTAAAATTCCTTATTGCTACTTAACATTTTTGACTCTCTGACAAAATTAAGTATACATATGTATCTTGTACAAAATGTTTGTAGAATTATTTTATGTAATTTTTTAGCAATTGTTTCTAGTAGTGTTGTTATATTTTGGCATTTTTTTCACACAAATATAGTTGTAATGTTACTATGTATATGTATATAGTAAACATCTATTCAAATAAATCTTCTAAGTTCTATTATTATTTGCTGGTTTGACTTTCACTACAAACCGAAATTTGCCAAATATAATTCAAACGAAAATCTCATCACTTCAAAACAAACAGCAGTTGTAGCTTGTATTTTATTCATTCTGTAGGCTAGGAACCAGTAGCATTTTTAATATAAATTTTATCTGTTACTTCGTTTACCATGTAAATAAAATATTTTCATAATTATTATTTTTTTCTAAAATACAATTTGTTCAATATATATATTGTTATTTCAACTTCACCAGCAGTCTGTGTAGGAACTAACATTGTATTACTCTAACTAATTACCCAGAATTAACTTTGTTTCCCAGTGGCTAAACCGTCCGAATTTGCGATTTAGTTACTATTTATTTTGTTTTTTTCATGTTCATTATTTTTTCATGTTCATTATTGTTTTTGTTCTCTCAGTTTCATTAGAATATAGTATTTATTCTTTATAAATTGGTGTATTTTTTATTGTTTTTTTTTTCACAAAAATTGCATTTCTCAATGCTACACAATGCAAAAATGAATTTAGCACATTTGTTTCACATTCAAATTAAGTCTATGGGTTTTAATCAAAAATAATGAAAGTGGTAGGCAACTATTTATACAACAGAGCACCGAGGACTACATAATCTTAAACTGAAAAGTCGGCTTGTTTATCGACATAATTGGCTCTACCAGTGGCGTACCAATAGAAAAAATATTTGATTTTTTCTTATTGTTAAATTTAATGTTCTATTAACTTTTGTTAGTAAAATGGTAAAATTATTGCTTTTTTTCAACAAACTATATTGTGACGAAGAAGAGTGGAAGAATAAGCTATACGATCAATAACCACTTTTTAAAAATTGTGTAAACCTGATATGTTTAATACCGTTCGAAAGCTGTTTTACTTTTCTATCTTATAAAAAATCATAGTTTTGTGATAAATATTTATTGAGAAAATCGCTGGTAAGAACAAAAACAGCGAAAATATAAATCCGACCATTACTTCTAAACTATCAAGAATTTTGCGGTTTTCTCGACACCAATCGCCTCCTTGGAACATTTTACATAGGTAGGTATAGTATATACAAAACTTAATCCGTTTTTAAAATTATCGATTTTTTGTCAGAATCGGATATAGTGCTTATGGCTTATAGCACTATTTTTAAATTTATGACTCAATATCTTAAAAACTATGCATCGTAGAGTATTTTAACTTGTTGCATAGTGTTCAGCGCTCAATTTTACGTCTAGAAAACCATATTTTGAACGTTTTTACGACTTAAGGTAAATTGACGATTTTTACGATTTTATTACCGTTCAAAAACCCAAAAAATTCGTAATTTTTTAAACTTCACCCAATAACGTTTTTTGCACTTTTTCGAGCCTTTTTAGAACCTCTAGGAATGTTAAAAACGTTATATGGAGCAATTTTAAAGTTGATTTTTTTTTTTTTTTGATTTTTGTTGAGATTTTGGTCGATTTTATGCACCCGGAGCGGTTTATTGCAAATAACTCCGGACTTATCGGTGATGACTTCTTATGTTTGGTGACGTTGGATAGAAAATTTAATTTTCTATCATATACAAAAAGAGCAGTGTTCTACAATAAATAGTTATCAAGAAAATTTCTTAAAATCAAAAATATCGAAAATATAAATAACTTCAAAACTATTACGAATTTTGCAATTTTCTTGACGTCAATCGATTCCTCGGAACATTTTACATTACATATGTTTAGGTCAAAATATTAAATTATTAAGATACAGTTTTTTCGCAATTTACAAAATAAAAAAAGTAAAAATCTGTTAACTATGTAAAAAAAGTGCGCACTTATTTATAATTGTACAGGGTGTTAAAAAATATTCGCTTACTTTGCGGACGTATGTTTATAATAACAATAATTAATAAAAAAAATTCTTAATTTTTAAGGCAAAACTTACCTTTCATTTATATTACTTTTAACTTACCTTTTGTTATATATACTATTTTCACTTTTGATACTTGTTTTAAAGTTCACGCTCTTAGTATTGTGCGCTTTCTCTCTTATACTTATTATAACATGTGCACATGTTTTTAAAGATCGCGCTCTTATGCGCCCGCCCTCTTTTGACATTTATTTGAATTATATTTGAATTTGAATTTGTGAAAAATTGCCGATTTGACCGGGGCTCGAACTCGGGACCTACCTGCTGGAAAGCGGGACCTTATGCCGCTGAGCCACTACCGCCGCCGACATATTCAATGTTTTCATTCAATATATTTTACACAAAATTTTTCAAAAATTTATTTTTTGCATTTTTACAATGTTTTTGTGCTTTATTAAGTCTTTTGAACCCCCAAGAGTGCAAATGGACAATTTTGAAGTTTTTAATTTTTTCGACTTGTCAAAATCTTGGGCGATTTTCGGTACGCGGAGCGGTTTATTGTTAATAACTTCGGACTTATTGCAGATAGCTTCTTATATTTGGTACCGTTGGAAAGAAAATTTAATTTTCTATCATATACAAAAAAGATTAGTGCTCTACGATAAATAGTTATCGAGAAAATTTGTGATAAAATCAAAAATATCAAAAATATAACTTAAAAACCATTAAGAATTTTCCAGTTTTCGTGACGCCAATCGATTCCCCGGAGCATTTTACATAGGTTTACCTCAAAATATTCATTCATTCAGACACAGTTTTGCCACAATTTACAAATTAAAAAAAAAATTAACATTTGTTAACATGTCTCAGATTCAATTTAAACCTATCTTATCCGATAGATTTTGATGCGCTGATTACGAATTTGCTAAGCATTTTGCGCTATCTCCTTCAGTTTCGCCGTAATCGGCGTTTAAACATTTAATTTTTTTGCAAGATATCGACTTGGCTCTGTCTTCAGTCGATAGTTTTTCTTATGCTGATTACGATGGTGTTGAGCTTTTTGCTCTAAGTCTAATAGTTTGGCCGTAATCGTCGTTCAAAAATTAAAAATTGTCAAAATTGTGAAACTTTAAATGCATTTTTGTACGAAACTATAAAACTTAGAGCAAAATGCCAAGAAACATCAGAATCTAAATTAAATTATCTATTTAATGAACCAAATCCGGAGTCGCTCCGGGTTATAGTTCCGGGTGCAGAGCCATTTTTAGTTTTTTTCATAGAAAATTAATACCTCAAAAACTATAAGTCCTAGATCAAAACGGTTTGTACAGGCGTGTTCTACTGTTAATTTTACATATAAGCCTAGTTTTTCATAAAAAAAAATTGATTTTTTGCTCAAAATCGGATTTTTCTAGACTTATTCTTACATTTAATACTCAATATCTCAAAAATTAGGCATCTTAGATTATTTTAACTTGTTGCATCGTGTTCAGCACGGAATTTTACGTCTAGAAAACCATATTTCAAGCGTTTTTACAACTTAAGGTAAATTGACTATTTTACGATTTTACTACCGCTCATCTTCAAAAATTCAAAAAATTCGAAAATTTTCAAACTTGATCCAATGCCGTTTTATGCACTTATTTGAGTCTTTAAGACCTCTAGAAATGTAAAAAACGTTAAATGGATAATTTTAAAGTAATTTTTTTTTTTGATTTTTGTCGAGATTTTGGTCGATTTTTGGCACCCGGAGCGGTCTATTGCGAATAACTCCGGACTTATTGGCAATAACCTCTTATGTTTGGTACCGTTGGAAAGAAAATTTAATTTTCTATCATACACAAAATAGGTCAGTGTCCTACGATAAATAGTTTTTCTGAAAAATTTTGATAAATTCAAAAATATCGAGAATATAAATCCGACTATAACTTCAAAACTATTACAAATTTTGCAGTTTTCTTGACGGCAATCGATTTCCCGGAACATTTTACATATGTCTACGGCAAAATATTATATCATTATTCACAGTTTTGCCGCAATTTACAAAATAAAAACCCCCTCTTAAAAAAAGTGTTTTTGAACATGTTTCAGATTTGATTTAAACCTATCTTATCCGATAAAAAAAATTTCAAAATCATGAAACTTTTTTTCTACGAAACTATAGGACTTATTTTTCTATAATGTAAAAAAATAAATAGTTATCGAAAAGAAAATTCAATAGTATCAGAAAAATATACTCAAGTATAACTTCTAAACTACTGCAAATTTCGCAAAAAATCCTGTACACATAAAAATAAAATATACATTATAAAAATTATATAACTATTATAAAATAATAAAATATGCATATGTATTTATATTTTAACATAAATTTTTCTTCCAGAGTGACCAAAAATTGTTTTCGCTATTGTTGGATTTCGAACTGTAAAATATCGCCACCTTTCCGCAATAAAACGAATGAAAAAGTCACGTGATCTGCAATTTTACCAAAAACTACTAATAGAACATCCGTAATCCGTAGGTCGCGCCACCATAGCATAGCAGCAAGTACATCGTGAAAATAGCTTTCGACCGAACATTTGGTAAATATTTGCCCAATTTCCTAACTCTAACTTAATTTTTATAAAACAAAGTTTATTTCAAAAGTCACATATAGAAGGTTAAAATAATGCAATTGGTTTTAGTACTGGTGACAAAGGCGAATCGTCGCAATGGCCACACATACCAGGATATTGAGCCGAATAATTCGTAAGTGAAAAATTACATAATCCCTAAATGAATTTCTTTTTAAAATAGATTAGTGCAGTCAATCCTGTTTTCTTCATTTTAATATATTTTTTAGCATAAAGTGTCATTTTATATTGAAAAAAAATTAAACACTTAACCTTAAATAGGTGCAAAGTTCACAATTTCATTGATAATTTGTTTTACTTGCAGCCGATAGTTTGAAAGTTGGACAATCGATCCGATTTAATAGTTATGAGGCCACTCGAATGAATTTGAAGTTGACGGGCAACACAAAAGTGATCTGTCAGGGGTTCACAGGAAAACAGGGAACTTTTCATAGTAAACAGGCCATTGAATATGGCACTAAAATGGTCGGAGGAGTGTCTCCGGGAAAAGGGGGCAAAACCCACCTGGACCTGCCTGTCTTCAACAGTGTCAAAGAGGTTAGTAAAGCACCGATTTTGTCAAATTACAACGCAGCTTTGTTGCATAATCAGTGTCAAAACCTTGAAAATTTTCCAAAATTGTTTGAAAGTTTTTGTCAAATTGTTATTTTGTTAATTGTCAGGCGAAAGCAGCCACAAACGCCGACGCTTCAGTCATCTACGTCCCCCCTCCGGGTGCTGCCGCTGCGATTTTAGAAGCAATGGACGCAGAAATACCTTTAATAGTTTGTATCACTGAAGGCATTCCTCAACAAGACATGGTTAAAGTAAAACATAGACTTATTCGTCAAAACAAAAGTAGGTTGGTAGGCCCGAATTGTCCAGGTATCATTGCTCCCGAGCAGGTAATTCGAGTATGTCTCACTTTTTAGTCACTATATTACAATATTCTTAGTGTAAAATTGGTATTATGCCCGGACATATTCACCAAAAAGGTGTCGTTGGTGTAGTTTCAAGATCCGGCACTTTGACTTACGAAGCTGTTCATCAAACCACCCAAGTCGGTTTAGGTCAAACGCTCTGTGTGGGGATTGGCGGAGACCCCTTCAACGGGACTGACTTTATTGATTGTCTCGAGGTGTTTTTGAGAGACCCTGAAACGAAAGGTATTATTCTTATTGGGGAAATTGGAGGAGTTGCAGAAGAACAAGCTGCGGAGTATCTCATGCAGCACAATACTGTATGTTGTTTTTTCTTCACGAAATTCTTGATAATAATTAATTGTTGACAGGGGCCTAATGCGAAACCTGTCGTTTCGTTTATTGCGGGGCTGTCGGCACCTCCCGGCCGGCGTATGGGCCACGCTGGGGCTATCATTTCCGGGGGTAAAGGAGGCGCCCAAGACAAAATCAATGCCTTAGAGAAGGCCGGAGCTATTGTGACCAAATCACCGGCTCAAATGGGCAACGAGTTATTAAAAGAAATGCGCCGTTTAGGATTGGCATAAACCCATTTAATGTCAATTGATATTGTATTATAGTTTATCCATTAAAATCGATTATACCCAAGCAGAGTGTATTTAATCCGCTTATTAATGTTAATAAGATAATATGATTGTGTTCCAGTAACATTGTTATTTCATTCGTTAAGTAAAAAACTGTTGTTTTAAACATTTGTTTTATTTTTCAATTAACGAGAATTTTAGATGGCAAAGGAATTTTTAAATTCAGTACATCGATGACAAATTTGATTAAACTGGATCAAAGGTTAAAGTTCGGTATTTTAGGTAATGATCACTTTGAAAATACTTTGAACAATGATTTAAGCGATCTAGCGGTTCAAATTTCGATTTATTACATAAAACCATTTTTTTAAGTCTTTTTAATTTTTTTTTAATTGACGTATTTCACCTCAAATACAGTTGCGACCTTGCCAATGTGGCGGTAGCAGGGGCACAAAATTTATAAAAAAGTAAGAAGGTTGTCTCGTAACTTGGAGTGAGAGACACTATGCTTCTAGCCTTATTCTTAATTTTATTACTCAATATCTCAAAAACTATTCATCGTAGAGTATTTTAACTTGTTGCATCGTGTTCAGCGCGTAATTTCACGTCTAGAAAATTATTTTTTTAACGTTTTTACAACTTTTACAAGGTAAATTTTTACGATTTTACTACCTCCTTCAAAAGCTCAAAAAATTCGTAATTTTTTAAACTTGATTCAATAACGTTTTATGCACTTTTTTGAGTCTTTAAGACCTCTAGAATAGTAAAAAATGTTATACGGAAAAATTTTAAAATTGGATTTTTTTTGGATTTTTGTCGAGATTTTGGTCGATTTTTGGTACCCGTAGCGGTCTATTGCCAATAACTCCGGACTTATTGGTGATTACCTCTTATGTTTGGTACCGTTGGAAAGCAAATTTAATTTTCTATCGTATAAAAAAACCATCAGTGTTCTACGATAAATAGTTATCGAGAAAATTTCTGAGAAAGTCAAAAATATCGAGAATTTAAATCCGACTATAACTTCAAAACTACTACGAATTTTGCAGTTTAATTGACGCCAATCGATTCCCCGGAACATTTTACATAGGTTTACGTCAAAATATTATATCATTGAGATACAGTTTTGCTGCAACTTACAAAAGTTTTCCTTTTTTAAAACTTTTTTGAGTTTCTAAGATCTTTAGAAATGTAAAAAACGATATATGGAACAATTTTAAAGTTGAAATTTTTTTAAATTTTTGTCGAGATTTTGGTCGATACCGATACCGTTGGAAAGAAAATTTAATTTTCTGTCATATACAAAAAATATCAGTGTTCCACAATAAATAATTATCGAGAAAATTTCTGATATTAAAAAAAAATAAAAAAAAGTATAAATTAAAATATTGCAAGTTTTAACAAAATAAATTTATTTTTTTNTGTTTATATTTTATTTATTTTACCCTTAAAAAAATATTTGATCAGTATTTAATTTATGGAATTGTAGTTTTTTTAGCTTAATAATATGTTTGGTTGCATATCTTATTTTTTAACAATCACTCCAGTGACGTCATTTTCGCGAATAATGCTTACACGTGATTGGTGCAAAGTTACGAGGCAACCTGCTTACCTTTTGTAAAATCTTGGCAATGGCACTAGGTAGCCCAACTAAAATTTACGTGGAAGTTCTCACAGTAATTAAAAAAAATCATTCTAAATTAAAAAAAAAAAAAATCAAAATGATGTCACTCGACTCCTCTCTTATTTAAATTTTTTGAAGCGGTGGTTTTGGGCGTAAGAGGGATACAGAAATAACTTTGATTGGTTCCCCTGTAAGTTAAAATTGACCTGTTTCAGCATTTTTTCCAAACTTGGACGCAAATTTTCGTTGAGACAGTCTATATGTCGTGCCATTTCAATCGCCATTTTGTTATTTTTCATAATGTTTTTTCTGTATGAAATTGTGAGTAATTGTCAGTAGAGTCCAGTTCTTGTTTTACAAAGAAGTTGAATATTTGTGACCTATTTTACCTGCGGCGATTGAAATGGCACGAAGTGTACATACCAGGTGAATAAAAAGTATGGGACCAAACGTTTTTTGCTTAAATTATTTATTTTTTGGAAAAACTAATTGATGAATGATAAAGTGCTATAAAAATGTGATGTTTTATCAAGAATAAAATTTTTCGAAATTTTCTTTTGTTTTTGAGTTCTACAAAAAAAAAAAAAATTCAAATGGCAACCCACTATAAAACCATTTTTCTCATAAAAGTTATGATCTAAGGATTACAACTATCTACTTAATAGTTAATTTAAATTTTTTTTTTTTTTACATAAATTGCAATTTTGACAAAAAAAATCGCATAGTTCAAAAACAAAATAAAATTTCGTACTCAAAATACTATCACATTTTTTATATTACTTTAATTTATATAAAATATTATTTTCTGGAGGCAAATGATTAAAAAAAAAACGCTTGGTTCCATACTTTATATCCATTCTGTATATATGTTTAATTTAGAATTTGGCGTCATTGAAACGTCAAATACCCTAACCTAACATAAACTTATATGACTTAACCAAAACAAAAAAAGATTGTATGGTGGTTTATATATTTTTTTATGTAAATCTAACTTATTAAAGTGAAAACGGCAAAAATTGTTGTATTTTGATATCAATTTATCACCGAATTGTACAAATGGGTTCTCCCAAGCATAAAGAAAACCTAACCAAACTTTCCTTAGAAGAACTTGAAGAAATTTACGAACGGGAGAAAAATATACTTAAAAATAAGTAAATACGGTAACTAAATCTGAGTTCTGTGAAATAAATTAATTGATTTTAGAAAATTGGTTGACAAATTGCCCGATAAAGGAAAACAGTTGGAACAAAAGTTAAAGGAAATTAAAAAAGAAATTGATGTCAAACGCTCACTTCAAGATATTGAAGGAAGTATGAAAACAATGAGTATTGATAGTACTAAAGAATCTGTTTTAAATGAAAAACATGTACAACATTTATGTAATATGGAAAAAACTCCAGAAAAAGAAAGGTATAAACCATTTTCCACTCTTGCTCATGAAGATAATAAATCAAAAGAAAGACATCAAAACCCAACACAATTGATCCCATTAGCGGAATCTATAAGTTTATTAGTAGAACAAGCAAATACATTGCCGGTGAGTGCTCATAATCAATCAACATAATTACTTTATTTTCTTTGTTGAAGATTTCTGATCCTAAAATTGTAATTGAGGGAGCCGAAAGTGATGAAGAGGAAGACGAGGAACAGGAACGAGTTGTATTAGATAATACACCTTTGTAATTTTCAAAAAAACTCTATTTAAATAAATTAACAATTTTTAACATTTTATGAATACAAGAGTTATATACATACATATGGTAATAATGAAAAAACAGCCTTTGACCAAAATATTCAAATCCAGTGTTTTGATAATTTTATCATCTTGACTAGATTTTTTGAGAGCCAATTTCAATGGAGTGGGAAGGGCCAAAAACCGTATTAAACTTGCTCAAAAAACTCAAATAAAAATCCATCCTGGTTAAATTTAAAGCAATTTCCAATTAAAAACGTCGAGAGTACGTGTACCGGCGAACTGAAACCGACAAAAAAGCAAAAACTATACGAAAAGAAAAAAAAAAATTCCAATTTCATCTAACTATCTATCACTAAGATCCCTACTTAATCCGTTAGCATTCGGATCAATGCTAATTCTGTTAGCCTCGGCCCTCCTTCTTGAATTTTGCGCGTCAGACCTCGCTCTTCCCCTCAACACAATGTTTCTCTGCCTAACGGGCCTAGCGACATCACCAACTGAAATTTCAGTCTTACTTGAACCGTCCCCAATTTTAAATAATTTTGTTTTAATATTAGGCTTCTCATTAGAGACTTTATTACCATTCCTATGCGCAGCCGATGACAAAACTAACTCCTGCACAAACTGACTACGATCTTGCCTACTTAAATCAGTTGTTGACTGCAATGACAGCTCCTCCAACAGCCCCACCAGAAGGAACTGTGATTGAGGAGAAGGCATGCTTGGAGCGTTAACAGACGGCTGCTGAATTAAAACAGGGCTAGGGTTTAGCATTAAAGTCGAAGTTCCAGAATTCGACGACGCGTGAGATTCCCTCAGAGACGTCTGGCTTTGGGTTTGGCGTCTCGGAAAACGCTCCAATTGCTGGCGAGCGGCGTTCACTTGTTGACGCTCGAGTTGCAGTTGCATTTGCAGCTGTTGCAACTGAGTCGGAGTGCTGCTATTTGTGTTACTCGCCGAACGACGAACTCCAGAAAGTTGAGACAACAACTCCGCGATGGGGTCCACCGTTTCTCTCGATGAGGGAGAAAGCGACGACAAACCGCCAGAACTGAACACACTGTATATAGAAAATTGTATCAAAGATCGACGATGAACTATAATCGTTTGCATTTTAAGCAAAGTAGTCGATGAAAGGCAACCATGCAAAAAATCAAACAATCCTAACCTCAATCTTCCAAAAAAAAAAATACTTTTACAAATAAATTTGTACCCCTGGTAGCAAAAAATAATTAAAATTAACAACGTAATTAACATAGTGAGGCAATTACAACGATTCATTTTTCGTGTAAATCGGCCTTTAAATTAAAAATACATTTAGACCAGTGTTGCCAGGTGTGGTGAAATTTCACCAGATCCTGTGATTTTCAGGTTAGTTTAGTGATTTGGTGAAAACTTTTGTAAAAATTCTAATATCTAGTGATTTTTTGGAAATAAAAAAAAGGTTTTACGAGCATTTTCTACGTTTTCAATCAGAAACTTGATTATTTCGTTAAATTTTTTCAAAAAAATCGAAAAACCACCAAATTGGTTAAAAATCGTTTTGTTTAATTTTTTATAAGATTTTACTGGACAGGACCGAAATTGTCAATTTATTTTTGTCTTTTTCGAATATTTTTTTAGTTAGAAACAATCCAAAAATTCAACAAACTTGACCAAAAACGGCGTTATTTTTGTTTTTGAAGTATTTAAGCACGTTTTTGAGATAAAAACAAAAAAATCACAAAATTAAATCGGAATTGATATTATTTTTAGTTTGTTTCGCTCGACTTACTTCGTTATTGAACCAGAGGCTCATTTATTTTGCAAAATCTTGTCTAAACACGCTTAAAAATCACAAAAACAAATGATATTGAAGTTATATTTTGTTTGTTTCACACGATTTAACTGGTTTTTGAGCAAAATAAGACGAGAATTGTTTTAAGCACGATTTTGTGCTATAATCTCAGGTTTTTGCGAAATTTCGCTAAAACGAACTGAAAAATCAATATATTAAGTCAAAAATTACATTAATTTTGCATTTCTTGAAAGTTTTAGCACGTTTTTCATCTTGAAATGTAATAATTTTGAAAAATTGGTTAAAAACAAGCCAAAATTTTTGCCTTTTTCAAAAGTTCAAGTAGAGTTTTACGCTGAAAACTCTGTTTTTTCGCGAGAGTTTGCCATAGTGTGTCAAAAATCATTAAATTGTTATATGAAAAGATTATATTATAATATTTTACCTAACTCTTAGACTGGAAATTTATTATTTCGTCAAATTTTCTAGAAAATAAAAAAAATCGAAAACCACAAATTGGTAAAAAATAGTTGTATTTGTTTTTTACAAACAAAGTGGAAAATGACAATTTATTTATGTTTTTTTCGAATGCTTTTTCAGCTAGAAACACAATTATTTTGTGAAATTTTGTTAAAAACAAGCCACAAATGTAACAAGCCGAAAACCGGCGTTTTTTGGCCCTTTTCGAATGTTTAAGCATGTTTTTGAGAGATAAAAACACAAAAAGTTCGAAATATTGCGTTAAAAATAGGCTAAAACATTAAATCGAAATTGATATCATTTATTAATTTTGTCCAAATACGCCTAAAAATCACAAAAAGGATTGATATTGATGTTATTTTGTTTGTTTCACTTGATTGAACTGGTTTTGGAACAAAATTAAGACAAAAATAAGCTAAAAAACCCCAAAATTTGACCGAAAATGCTTTCAAGCACGGTAGCAAAAAATAATTAAATTAACAAGTGATTTGTAAATTTGTCATTATCAAATTTGTTCTGAAAGATATTTATGATACTTTTTGTGTGAATCGGCCTTTAAATTAAAGATTCATTTAGACTTCTACAACCTACTTGATGCATTTAAATAATTACCAAAATAAACTTAAATTTGCAAAATTCGATTTCTGATGATTTTTTCGTTGCGTAAACTTACCTAAAATGCATATTGGAGCGTCTGGGTCTTAGAGCGGCAGCCCCTCGCCCCATATGGGTCGCATTATGAGGAATTCGCCTAACATTGTGTCTGGTCCCTACTGGTTCATCTAGAAACGAAATTAAATCTCTAGGACCGGTGCGATGTTCTAAAGTGAGATGTCCGGCAAAATCATCTGTCATTAAATTAGGATCACCCCCTGGCATGGCTGCACATAATGGACAAACCTTACAAAAATTATTGAATCAAAAAAAAAATAATAACGGTTTTTTTCACACTTACAACTTCAAACGAAGTATCAACATGTTCAGATGAAACATGTTCTTGCAACGTTACATCAGTGAAGCCCATACGAGAACAGTAAGGGCAAGTATAGGATTGGGGTAGTTCAAGACTGGTCAAGGCCTCGCCACCGTAGAAGAAATCTAATTATTGACAAAATTGTTGTGGTTTTAATATTTTTTAGTGTGACTACAGTAAAAATTCATACCAAAGTCAGCCCTGGTGATGATACACTGCATAGGATGATCAGTCGTATGTCTTGTATTAGTAGCCCCTCCTTCGTAACAAGCCGCACACAAATCATAATCATAACAAATCAAACATTTATATCTCCGGCCTCTAAAATTTCCAATCAAACAAGAATCACAGCTCACACCTGGAAGTAACCCAATCAACTGATTATATCGGATTTGTAACATCAATAGTCTTACCTTCATGACGACTCATGGCAGATATTTTATATTTCCTCCACGAAGTTTTACCAAAATTTTCACATGTAATTAATGTGAAACCACAAATTGTTCTGCAAATATGAAAATCACACTGATCAGAACACACAAGCTTGTAAACCTATGACAATTACTGTTTTACCGGCGACGCCATTTTTTCAGCGCCGACTCAAAAACTACTTTGCGGAATAAAAACCAAAACGTCTAATTATAGTGAATTAAGCTGAAAAAAAACATGTTTTTTTAATTTTTATAAAATACTCATCTTATTTTTATACAATTACAAAAAATTTGGTTATTAAAATTAATTGTTTTTTTTTTTCTTTTTAACTAAAATTAATTATTGATGTGTACATTCGACCATGCGAGATTTCGAGCCTCGTGTCCAGAACATTCGAACATTGGTCGTCATTTTGTTTGTTTACTGTTTAGAGGTTTAATTGTATTTAAAAAATGGGAAGATAGTAGAAGAAATCGCTGTAAAACAAGTAATAAAATAGTAAAATGGGATGAGGTTGAAAATTCGGTAGCTCCAGCATGAATTTGGACGTACTCTTTGGCTAAATTCCTAAAATAACCTTTATCAATAATGAGTAGTGTTACTGAATATAATAGCGCGTTTAAAAGTTTAGCTTTAGTTTTGCTAATTATACCAATTTGTGTCTTTACAAGTGAATTAAATGATGTGTGGATGCGAAATGTTTCGAAAGAATTGAGTGAAGATTTAGCTATAATAAAAAACGAGGAATTGGGGATTAGTTACATCAAGGTGAGATGAATTCCTTATCTAATTTATTTATACAAAACCTTTTATTTTAGAAATTGTACAAAACATTTAACTATGCATCAGCTATTATCAACGCTAACAAGACGATAAATGAAATTGTTTATAAACTAGAGAAGAAAATAGACGACGTGTTTTCTGCTTTACTAACCACCAAAGCGGCCATTCAGAACATGCAAATGCTGAATTACACACTCAAAATTCGCTCTACTCTTCTCCCATGCATCAAAAATCAAACCTCAGACCACAGTGATGATGCATCAATAATATCAGGTCGGTAAATCTCAATGCATTTTTTTATGAAAAATAATTTGGGGCCTAAAATCGACATAATTTGTTTTTTCAGTGTTGGACAAGATTAAAACACACGTGATTTCAAGAAATGACACCAAGCAGCAGTATTTTATATCCACGTCTGATCTCCAGTACCTTTATTCGCCTTTTATTAATTGCAATAAAATTGATCACATGTTGTTGTGGAAAAATTTTATGTTTAGAAACAATTTTGCTTCTAAAAATATTGTGCTTTTGTTGGACCATGGAGGATCGCTCAGTAAGCGCCATTTTGCCATAGTTTTATCAATTGGTAAGTGGATAAAACTAGGTGATTTTGTTGTGAAAGGAAATTTTAGCCAAACAAATTGTTGAAAACTTGAATGAACACGACAAAATCGCCGTTCTTGCCATATCAAATGACTGGTCATCTCCGGAATTAGACGAGGAATGTCCAGTAACAAACCAAGTTCATTCAGTTGTTGACGATGTTCCTAAATTAACTCCCGTTACGCCCAGTAGGAAGAAATTGTTATATAATTTTATTGACGGCATGTACAAAGGAAGCGGTGCTACAAATCACTCGTTAGGTCTTCAGAAAGCTTTAAAAGTGATCGAAAACAGTCAGATACAAAATGAAACTCTGATGATATTATACATAAGTCGGGGGTTATTGTCTTCATTGACTGAAGCCAAAACCGTGCTTGAGACAATACTAGAGGCGTCAGAAAATATAAGTTGCCCTTTTATTATCAATACGTGTGCTGTTATTGACGATAGTAGACCCACAATTTACGAAACACAATTCCTTGAAGATATTGCTTTACAAAATTATAAAAAGTACAATATATCGTATACTAGAAACGTGTTTAGGGGTGTTATGGTGCCGATTAATTCAACGGAAACGGTGGGATTTGCTTTAGCTCGATTTTATATGGTTTACAATCAGAATAATTATAACGTGCAAAAATTGATTTCGCTTCCAACGTGGGATAAAAAATCGAATGGTAATAATATTATCACTGATTTTAGTTTGTAATTTTTTTATTTTAGACTTGACAATTTCTTTCTCGTTGGGATATTTACATAATAGTCATTTTGGGTTATTGGGACTTGATGTATATTTTGCAAGCTGGGCCAAAGACCTTATTTATTTCAGCAATTCCCACAAAAACTACTATGCTTTTTTGATTGATATGACAGGTAATGAATTGTCGCGTTTTTGAATTGTTTCATTTTTTCTCCATCAGGACGAGTCATCTTACACCCGAAGTTTGCATCAGTTATGTCAGTAAAACGACAATTACAGTATGTCGATATATCATATTTTGAAAACGTTGCATATCCACATATTGTTAAAAAGAGGCTTTTAAATGAACGGGAAGGGTTTCAATTGACTACTCAATTTGGATCACCTGTAAGTCTTCCAACTCGGAAATGACCTATAAAATGATGTTAATTCAAATAATAACTCGTGTCCTATCACTATTGAGAAGAATTTGACAGCCCTCAGAATGAATAACTTCGTAACCATTTGAGCAAATAATATAAACTTTGGTATAGTTATTTGCTTCTTCTGGCAATTTTAAAATTTCAAATCTTCAAGCTGTTTTCTTTGACAAAAAACTTCTTAAATGTGCTTCTCAGTGCTTCAAGTTTTTGCCACAACAAACTGAATTTTGACCGATATTTTAAAAACCACTAAACGCAAGAAAAAAATAACAGATTTAAATTTGTCAGCTAATTTTAAGTCAGAAACAGTAAAATTTGTGGTATTTCAGCCATTTATCTTGACAAAAAAATTATAAAAATATCCCTCACTTTATATTCAAGTTTAGCACTAACGAATTTTGACCAATATTAAAAAAAATAAGAACAGATTTAAATTTGTCAGCCAATTTTAAGTCAGGAACAGTAAAATTTGTGGTGTTTCAGCCATTTATCTTGACAAAAAAAAAATAATAAAAATATCCCTCACTTTATATTTAAGTTTAACACTAACGAATCAAACTTTGACCAATATTTCAAAAATATTGATTCTAGACAAAAAGTAAAAACAGATTTGAAATCTTCTCACAATTTTACATAAGAAAAGTTAAAATTTCAAATTCTCAAACTGTTTTCTTTGGCAAAAAAATTCTTAAATGTGCTTCTCAGTGCTTCAAGTTTTTGCCACAACAAACTGAATTTTGACCGATATTTTAAAAACCACTAAACGCAAGAAAAAAATAAGAACAGATTTAAATTTGTTAGCCAATTTTAAGACAGAAACAGTAAAATTTGTGGTCTTTGAGCCATTTATCTTGACAAAAAAATTATAAAAATATCCCTCACTTTATATTCAAGTTTAACGAATTTTGACCAATATCTCAAAAATATTGATTCTAGACA